TATGTATATGTATATATGTTCTCCCTGACTCCTCCTTCTCGCCCCATACCTCTCAACCAATCAACCAACACATGCATAGTGGGTTCTGTGGTGGCACGATTTACCAAGGATGCAGAAACATGTTGGAATAAATGCACAGAAAGTCTGCGTGTATGGTCGTCAAATGATTTAATTTGAGCAACAACAGAGCAGGTGTCAATCAGAAAAGTCTGTCAAGTTGTGGCTGGCTCGTCAGAGCAGAGCAGCTGATAATATAACATCCTGTGACATGCTTACAACCAATCACAGTTCGCCAACTGTGAACTATCTAACCAATGACAGGGCTGTCAGCCCGGAAACACCTTTATCAAAATAAAAGAGGTCATGCATTGCTGGAGTCTTGAAGTCTGTGCCGATAGAGTAAAACAGCCGAAACTAGTTATCATGAGATATGATTACTGGACAGTGTCAAGGTAGAACAGATATACATAATTATTCCATAACAGTTCCATACAACTTAACAATCTCCACCGGGACCGGGTGACCCACGTGGCCGTGTCATCTACCAGTTCCACCTCTTTCTTTTCTCCTTTTCTTTGTCCAACCCTCAGTTGTTTAGGGGTACCTTGCCCTTGTGCTGCAGCAGACCCCATGCTGGACTCAGCGTTGTCTTCTTCTAAGCTTTCAGGGGGTACGGCGGTTTGTGGACGCTCAACAGGCCGAGGAGGGTTCGGCGGTTCTTCCTCTTCTGAGCTCTCGTTTTCAGAGCTGGGGTCCCACCTGTTGAAGTGTCGAATTAGGATCTGTTTCTTCTCTGACCAAATCGAGGTCTTCAATGTCCTTTTGTTTTGGGTGTTGCACGCGGGTTTTTCCATTGGTTTTTCGTTTTCTGTGTCCGAGGTTTTGAAACCCTGCTCAGTCTTTTTTGGCGGGYTATCTTTGACGGGGMTCTCTTTGGCGGGGTTTTTTTTTTCTTCCTCCCGTTTGGGCTCAGCTTTTATGGGTATCATTGGCATGAGCTTAGTCAGTCTTTCATTTTTCAGCTTTTCAGCTGTGACCACAACGATTTCTTTCAGGTCTGTGGGCACATTGAGGTTCTGAGCGAAATGCACTGAGCCTCTCACTGCCACCTTTTCTGCCATGTTCCATGGCAGGTCTCCAGACCTCAAACCACAGGTGCTGATGACGACTCTCCTCAGTCCCTAATGTATTGCATGATACAATCCCCGTTCCAYTTTTTTCATCATTAGGCGGACATAGTTTTCCATGTCATCGCCTTTCTTATATGCAGGTACTGGGACGTGGATGATTCCATAGTGGGCCAATCCTGCTCCACTAGTCATTTGGGGTCGGTCTGGATCTTTTTTGTGGGTTTCTCTTAACTCCTTTACCTCCCTCTGGTATTCATGCCCCACAGTTTTTATCAGGGCTTTTCTGAACTTCCCATTGTAACTTTTATAGTTATGGTCGGTGAATATCAGCAGTCTGTCACTTGAGATGGCCCATGGGTCTCCCACAGTTTGATGCAGGACTATACCATTCTGCATTCAAATCTTCAGGGTRTCCTCAGAGAGAGGGCCTAGCGGGCCTCGTCTCGGTGTCTCTGGTTCTGTGTGACGCTGTTTGCGGTCACATTTCCGATGTTTTTTTTCGCCTTCAATGATGGGGGTGTTTTCAAACTGTTCGGTCAAAGCGTTCACAGTGTTCTGGTTTCCGACTCTTTTTGGCTCTGAATCGGGGGTTTGACCCAATAAGTTTTTATGTCATTCAAAGCCTGAGTCAGTTCCCCTATTTCTTTATGAATGTGGGATCGATCATCATCACCTTCTTCCTCACTGGAAGTACCTTCATTTTGTCTTGCTTCCTNGAATTTCATTTAGAAATATTTTTAAACATGTAAATTGTTGTGGAAGTTTTTAAGTGTTATATTTATTTCACAAACCTGTTCCCTGAATCACAGCAGCTCCTTTAAACTCGTCCAAAATGGAGGTTTTTAAAAAAATCTTTGTMCCCTTCAAGTTACAGTGACTCTTTCTTTTAACAAATTTTATTAATTTATTAAAATTGTAATATTCAAAGTTAACATTTTTAACAGCTTTATGCTTGATCTGCAAAATATTCAYTCAAATCAAAGTTTTAATAATTTCAGCTGATGATATAATGTATTTGTTGGATGACCATTAAACTTTCTACTGATAATTCTATTGGCTGTTTTTTGCAAAATAAAACTAGGATATCTTCACTAAACACACTTATATGTTTTTCCTCAAACTTCAATACAGTAAATTAAATGTGGAATATAGCGGAAATGTGAATATCTTCTCAACAAGAGACAGTCAAACTACTGTTCCTGTAACTCATCTGATACTTCTCCCTTAGGCCTTTGAACAAAGACTAGACTTCCTGTCGCCAGTTAATTTGTTTATCACCTCTTTCAGAATAAGACTGGAATAAACATTGTTTAACATCAAAGGGCCCCTGATGTTAAACAAGACGAGACAAAACATCAAAAGACTCCCATCAGATTTATCTGTGGGTCAGCAACACCACCCTGTGGACGTTTTATCTATTAACCCTGAAAATATTTATTTTTCACCCGTTTTCCGTTTATAACTATAAAAAGCATCTGTGAAGTGTCAAAACAATACCTTGGTACTCAGATTTAATTACTGTAATAATCATGACATTGTTTAAGTAACTTGATCTGGTTTGGATTCACTATTACTCTGTTCTTCTCTTACATGTCCGGATAGGTCATGTGACCACCGCAGAAAGTCTTAACCAATGAGAAGTTCCATTGTGAATTTCATTGTTCTGCCATGTAGTGAGTTCTGAAGAAGCATTTGAGGAGAGAGCAGTTTTTCCAGCTCCAGCTTTCCCCCACCCTGGGGCGAGGCTGTTCTTTTCCAACTTTTTCTACTTTTTATAGTTTAATCTTAAGGTGCTTTCAGGAAGGAGATTTACATTGATTGAAACGATGAGGCTGATTTAATTCAAGTCGGACGACCATCAGTGTGCTCGCAAGGAACTCAGTCGCTGCAGTGCCCTGGACAACATCTCCAGTGAATGCAGCCCGGCAATCCAGATGACCAGGGAGCTTCTGCACAGCTAAGTCACAGACTCGGTTGGACTTCACGTGCCAGCCCAATTAGCATAGAAG